AGAGAGAGAGAGAGAGAGAGAGAGAGAGAGAGAGAGAGAGAGAGAGAATAAGATCACTATCACAGTCTTTGAGCCAAATTTGAAACAAGCTTTAATTAAATTCTGGCCAGGTACACTCCTGGGTTCCTAGGGAAGTGGCCTCGAGTTACATTTTTTAGGAGCTTAAAAAGGCAAAACCCATCTACTAAAGCACGGTCAAACTCCCAGTGGCCAGCCACTTAGAGAAAACTGAGTCCTTCTCTCCCCCCCCCCCCAAAAAAAAAAAGCATCAGCTGTGGAGAGCTATACTTCAGCATCTTTATCACAACTTTTGAGAGTTCTCTTTGATGGCTTCCTTCTTGTCTCAGCTATTTGAGGGGGGGGTTTGTCACAAAAGCCTTCTGTCCTTTCTCAACTGTGAGTCTGCAATCATCCACACTGCTGCAGAAAAAGCTTCCCTGCCCTTTACAGTCAGTGGGAGCACAGACCATGGACACAGTTTCTGGCAACAGCATGGACCACCGACATCCACAGATCTCTGGCATCAGCACATGCCACAGACCTCAGCGTGGTCTCCAGTGGGAGTACAGATGGAGGACATCCACATGGCCTCTGGGGCAACACAGACCAGATACCAATATGGTCCCCAGCAGCAGCATGGTTCATGGACATCAATATGGCTTCAGGCTCACAGACCACAGACATCTGCATGGCCTTTGGTGGTAACACAGGCCACACGTGTGTAACACCTCAGGGAATTATCATCTCTACCAACTCAGACCCTAGCTCTGTCTTCCTGTCTGATGCGGCCCATCATTAATTCATATGTTGCCAGGGGTCTCTCTCTACACTGGTGTATCCAGATTCTTGGAGTCTTGTTCAAAGCATTGAAGAAGCACACAGGACAGAAAGTAGCTAATGGTTTTATTCAGAAGCAAACAGAGTACAGGCCAGACAGGCTGCCTGAGGGCACTGGGCTGTGAGGGAGTCCCTCAGGAGCCTGGTTACTTCCTAAGATTTCTTTCCCAGTTTCAGAAGGAGAGTGAGGTGTTTTGCTGGGGGTAAACTGAAGTATAAGTAGCTTTCTAATTTTGTTTGTCTTGCTTTATTTTTAGAGTATGTGTTCATTCATTTATTCAATGCATACATGTATGCCAAGCGTGTGAAGGTCAGAGGGCAACCTGAGTCCATTCTCTGCTGTACAAGTCCTGGGATCAGGCCCAGGCCATCCATTTCACAAACTCTGTCTCAAAGTAAACAAACAAACAAATAAAGTAAGTATGGACAGAGAAAAGGGCATGTAGATGAGACTATAGTGAAATAAGATTGGTCACAAATTGAAGCAGCTGAACTTGGTGATGCGTCCACCAGAGAATATGTCTTATGTGTGCAAGTGCCTAAAGAGCACTTTAAGAGGCCTTCAAATCCCCTGCAACTAGAGTTCTAGGTTATGAGCCACTTGAGGTGGGTGCTGGGAACAGAACTTGGATTCTTGCAAGAACAAGTGCTATTAAATGCTGAGTCAGCTGCCCCAGTATCCTTTAATTTTTTTCTAATTCCCTTCAATAACTTAAAAATTATTTTTTTAAATGTAGGCATGAAAATGTAGGTAGTCAAAGAATAAAACAGTGATAGCGGCACTTGCCATCTGAGCTGCTCCATCATGTCTGGCTTTTTATACCATGTCCGACATGACTGTCACATTATTTCTGTAGACTGGATTTTTAAAATCATTTCAGTAACTGAAGAGCCTTTTGACCTAGAGCGCTGCTTCTGTGTCGGAAGCTGCACTGGCCTAGGACTCTGTTTCCTAACTTAGCTGGGCAGCTTCTTCCTGCACCGTGCTGCCCTGTCTTCCTGGTTTCCATCTCTGTCTGCAAATTAGGTTATCTGGGGAGTTTAAGAAAACAAAAACGCGGTGGTCCAGCCTGCACCGTGGCATCAGTCACCTGCGGCAGAGCAGTGCTCTGCTCAGTTCCTCAAGTGCCCTCTGCTGTGCTGGGAGTTCCAGGTGGCAAGGCCTGCACCCTGAGGGCTGGCTCAGCACCCTGAACAGGCATTTACGTGACTGTGTCTAATTGTGACACAGGTTAATTTCACATAAGATGAATCTCAACTATTTATTTGCAGAAAAACCAAGAGTATTTAATCTCTTTTGGAATAGCTGAGAATCGCAAAGTTAACGGATGCCTTCCTTTCTCTATGGACAGCCCTGTGCTGGTGTTTGAGGGCATGGTCTCTTCCAGCACAGGCTGCATTTCATTTGTGCAGTAAAAAGATAGTCAGTGTGACCTACAACCCGAGTAAACCGCGCCACAACTTCCTCTGCCTGAAAACAATTCTACTTCTCAAATTTTCAGTTCTTCTCATGCTCACTTTTGCAGCTCTAAAAAACTTGGGTCTGTGTACTACAGATGAAGTTTTGAACGATGAATGGACATTTAATAATTTTGGATAAATTCAGGGATGAAGTGTACGCTTTTTAAACCTGTATTACCATGGTATGATTTTGAAGTATCAATATCATTGAATGTAGGTGCTACTTCCTTTTCTCGTGTGTGCGTGTGTGTGTGCAGGTGCGTGTGGGGTTGCTGCTGCACTGTGTACCTCTGTTGTGAGCAGCCACACGTGCTGGGTACTACAACTGCGTCCAGGTCCTCTGGAACAGCAGCTTCTTGACGGCCGAGCCATCTCTCCAGCCCCTACCCGGCAATTTTAGATTGAGTCGTTACAGCACTGACAGCACTAAATAAATGCCATGTCAGGGGGGAAAAGAGACCTTTATAGTTGTATAACTCTTCCAGCTAATTAAGCTCAATTTGTGTAAAAGCCTTCCTCTCGGAGGTCTGTTCATCAAGGGATCACTGCTTGGGCTGGGGATGTTGGAGGAGCCCTTGCCTCCCAGGAGCAAGGCTCCAAGTTTGAGCTCCAGTACCACGCACGCAAAACCCTCACTTCACACAGCCCAAGACCAAGGACTGTTAAAAGGAAGAGAGAGAGAGAGAGAGAGAGAGAGAGAGAGAGAGAGAATTTTTTGACTCAGGTCAGGGAGATGTCTCAGCCGGCAAGGACCTGAGTTTAAACTCCCAGCTCCCATGTAACAGCGGGGCACAATCACACATCTGTAAGGTCAGCACTGGGAAGGTCAGGTGGTTCCCCAGCGCTCACTGGCCAGACAGTCTAGCTGACAATGAGACCAAGATGCAAAGCAGCAGAGGAAGGCACCGAACATCAACTCCTGGCTCCTCTTGCATGTACTCAGTACACACCTAGACACACATACACAAAGGATTTTTATCTTCATCAACTATGTAAAAATTACCGCAGGCAAATACGTGAAGGGGTACCTGCCCTCTAAAATGTTTCAACCAGAAAAAGATGCCCATTGTCACAAAAAATGGAATCAGGAAGGGCTGGGGAGTTGCTCAGTGGTAAAGTACTTGTCATTGACATGCAAGCACAGAGTTCTCTCCCTAGAACCATGTGAAAAGTCTGACGTGATGGTACACTTGTCAGACCTGTCTATGGGACACAGGGACAGAAAGAGCCCTGGGCTTGCCCAAAGCCCCAGTTAGAGATTCTGTCTCTAAAACAAGGTGGACATCTTAAGAAACAATACCCAAGATTCACCTCTACCCTCCACAGGCACACACACACTCATATAGCACAAATATGCACACATGTCTGCACATGAGTACATACAAATACAACTAGGATACACTTTAGATGGGAAGACAGGAGGGACAGACATGAGAATAGAATAGTAAGAACAACCACGGCTTAACCACCATCTCATAAAACTGTTGTGGGGTGGTTTGGGGTTTTTTGTTTTGTTTTGTTTCATTTTGTTCTGGTGGGACAGACAGGATCTCACTATATTGTGCAGGAGAGTCTTGAACCCGAAGTGATCCTCCTGTCTCAGCCTTCAGAGTGCTGGGATTATAGGTGTCCTCCACCACTCCCAGCTCAGCGTATTTTTAATATAAACATATGAATTCCCAAACTGGATACAGGAGCCTCAATTACCAAACCTATATCCATAAGTGAGTATTTCTATAATGTATTGGCTGCATTCAGCTTTCTCCAACAGGTCCCCTTGATCAGCACAATGGAGGTCAAATATGGCTGACCTTTGCTCTGGCACTGTCTCAGATGTTTGCATTCCTGTTTGTATTGCAATTCTCTGCTTCTCACAGCTGAGTTTTCTGCTCTTTGTTTTCTTAGAAACAGGAAGACAGAGGAAATATGGTTACGATAAGAAATGCTTCTACCAAGCTTTCAGTTGTCCAGTTTCATTAATTCAGAACTTTATCAGACAACTTCAATCCAACTGTCGTCTTTGTTAAACCACCTTTTTTCTCAAAGATACATTATTTTCCAGTGTTAGGCCAGTTTGTCCTCAGGTTAAGCAGAATCTCAACATCTTGCTGAGCCAGTTTGTAAATTCCAACCTCATTTAAGGCTGCTGTGGCAGGAAGGTGCTCGGAAGCCGACTGCAGAACATCTTTCAGGAGTAATGCAGAACCGATATTCAGATTCAGAACGATGCAGGCTTCTTTTACACTGTGTAGGAAAACAAGAAAGAGAAGAGACGCTCTTTGCACCATCCCTAGAATGACAATGACCTTTGGGGTCTACACAGCTATTCTGACTATCTATAGATATACTATTTGGCTCTTTAAATATGCTGGGACTACACAAGGCGTAGGTAGGATCATCAAGATTTGTTTTAATACATCATTAGAGTTTGTCTCAGTACACTGATGCTAACAGAGTATTAAATGTAGCTGTGATTTTAGGTAGAATTAAGACATAGGAAAGATAAAAGGAATAAAAATGAATGCAGCAGAAAAGGCAAAATGCAAGACAAACCAAAAACGTAAATAAGTTGGGGATGGTGGCACACTTTTAATCCCAGCACCCAAGAAGCCAAAGCAGGAGAATCTCTGAGTTCCATGCCAGCCTGGTCTACACTGTGAGCTGCAGGCCAGCCAAGGCTACACAGCAAGGCTGTCTCAGAAAATCAAAACCAAACAGAAGGAGGAAGGCAGTTTTGATGGTTCCGTGTGTAAAGTTGCCTGCTGGCAAGTTTGATAATCTGAGTTCAGTCCTTGAGATCCACACGGTAGGAGAACAGAACCATTTCCCACAAGCTGTCGTCTGGCCTCCGCACACATCAACACAAAGTTAAAATTTTAAATACTAATAAAAACAAATAGGGGCTAGAGATTTAATGTATTAGGTAGGGTGCTTGCCTAGCGTGAATAAAGCATGAGAGGCGCTTGGGGGTACCGGGTTGCATGACTGTAATCACAGCACTCAGAAGACAGAGGCAGGAGGATCAAAAGCTCAGTGTCATCCTTTGCTTCTGCGTCTGGGTTCAAGGCCAGCCTGGGATACATAAAATCCATTTCAAAAAAAGAAAAGCAAACTGGAAACAACCATAGCTTCCTGGAAGCAAGCTTTAATGATTTAAAGGAATTTTTCGGAATTGCAAAAACCCTATACATACTGTAAATTTTAAGTCAGCCAATTTTTACTAGATTGCCAGTAACTGTTCTAATGTTTATAACTATTCTTAGAACTAAAGTTAATATTAAATTTAGAATCAGAACACTGATTATCCTTTAGTCTGGGGTACTGTTAGGCACTAAACCTAGCTGTGATTTCTTATTTTCTGCAGGTGGCAGAATTACACTTGCATTCATTTTCCATTCACTCGCCCAGTGGTAAGCAAACAGCGTTGAACCAGGTGCTAAGAAGCAAGTCCAATGTGTCCTGTACAGCTGGTTCTGGTCAGCTCTCTGAGGACGTGGATTGCACACATTATTTTGGTTTCCCTATTGTGTTTTGAAAATAGAATAGGTACACATGAATGTTTTAAAGTTTTAATTATTTAATATTTTTTTTAGATTTTTATGTTATTTTATGTATATGTTTTGCATACATGTATGTTCGTGCACCATGTCTGTGCCTGATGCCTGTGGAGGCCAAAAGAGTGTGTCAGATACTCTAGAACTATAGTTACGGATGTTTGCGAGCCACTGTGTGGGCGCTGAGAACCGAACCCCAGTCCCTCTGCAAGAGCATCAAGTGCTCCTAACTGCTGAGCCATCTCTTCATTTTAATTGATATTATTACAACAATACCAATGACACTCTGAAATTGTTAAAAAGAAGTCAGCTCCTCTAGCGTTTAGACACACCAATATTCATGGTCAGACATTGGGCTTACTGTTTAAAATAGTTTTCCGGTCTCTTGCAATAGTGAGAAAACAGAGGGAAAAGATTCCTCGTCATATCAAACTGCAGCTGGGCTGCTCCTCCTTCGTTGAAGTGATTGGCAAGGATTATCTGAAACCAAGAGCAGTCCATGTAAACACATCCATGTAATCCACGTAATGGTGCCGTCCTCAGCACAGCCCCGGTCGCCATGGACTTACCTCCTGATAGATGTAGGTATCCAACTTTTCTACAAGCATTTGCCAGAAAATTTTGAATAAGGAAAAACAAAGCTGCTGCTCCAGCTGAAGCAGACGGTCCCGTAAGGTCAGCAAGAGCGGGCAGGCTGAGCTGGACAGGGACATCACGGCCTGTTCAGACTGAGATGGCAGAGACAACCATCTGGAAAACAAATAACCTTCACAAGGATGAGCCTTACCACTTTGTACCTTTAAGATCTCATTTTAAATTTGTGGAAATGTATAGTCCTGGGGAAATTCTGGAGTTTTAAAAAAAAAAAAGTAATGTCTAATATTAAAAGCTCTACCAGAAAGAAATGTATCTATATTTATATACATTAAATTATTTAACGTTTCCTTTAAAATACCCCAAATTCAGTTATTAAAGTTAAAACTATATAAATTATATAAACTTAAAAACTAACAATTATATAAAGTTAAAAACTAAAGTTTATCTTTAGAATTTTAAAATTTAAAGACACCACTTAATATTATGCTCTGGTTTTAGCAAACAGACTAATAGTATTTCCAAATTGGTGGAAATTTGGCAGTACTGTGAGGTGGAGGTGCCATGTTAGGCCACAGACAGAGCAGGCCAGCTGTGAAATGCCGCACGGGGCTTCGACTACAGGGCACTTTACTTTGTGAAATGAGTGACATGTGGGCTCCTGAACCCCAGATCGCATGCCACTTCTCTTAGATACACACCATCGCTCATTTATTCTCAGTAAATTCTTTACGAGAATAGAGTTTAGGAAGATTTCCAGCAAAACCGAAGTTTGGGACTACCACACACAAAAGCCCCAAATTCAATCTCCAGATTTTACGAAAACTAAAATCTGGAATATAAATGCCACCTTCGGCTCTGACTAAGTTGGGTAAAGGGTGGCTGACACAGGACATACCTTTCCTTCTTATACAATTTTGCAGCATCTTTCACTTCTCTAAAAACATGGTCTACTTGGCGTGTCAGCATATCAAGCTTTAAGCGCTCTAGGAGGTTAATCATGTCATCGAAGACGGAGCTCTCCATGGAGGCTAGCTGTCCCAGCTGCAGCTTACTGAGGACATTATTCTCTGCAAAGACCTCCAGTGCTGCCTGTTGAAGCTGCAGAAAGAACTGAAAGCAAGCATCGGTTAGCACACCTATTAGCACAATGCTGGACATCCTGACATAGAACTTCTGCACCATACAAATCCCCTATTTAAGGTGCGCAGCCTCAAGGCCAGTGCGATGGCTTGGTCAGTGCCAAGCCTGATGACGTGAGTTCATGCCCAAGGACCCACACAGCATAAGGAAACAACTCTAGGCTCCCCACGTGTGTGCCACATATCTGCATTCCCACTCCCAGGAGGCTGACACCAGAAGATTCCCATGAGTTCAAAGCCAGTGTGGACAACATGAAACGCTGACTCTAAGTTAAACAAGCCTTTATCCTCTCCCCCAAATAAAGCATATAGCCCAGGACCAGTAAGATGACTTAGTGGAAAGAGGCACTTGTCACCAAGCCTGATGACCTGAAGTTTGATCCCTGGGCCCCACATGGTGGGATGACAGAACCAACTTCTGCGAGTTGTCCTCTTGATTTCAACCTGTGTGCTGTGTCACACACACATGCATGCACAAAATATTTTTTAACAATTCAGTAGTTTCAGCAATTCATAGCTGTGCGTCCATCGCCACAATTCTAGAACACTTATTATTTCCTGCCAACAAAATGCCTCATTCACTGCCTGTTTCTCTATTTTCTCCCAGCTCCCTCCAACTCTAATCTGTTCCTGTCTATGGACTTGACAGCCCTGCACATCACAAGTAAACAGAACCATATGAAGTATTCCTCGTGACTGACTTCTTTCACCTTAGTTCCATAGCATGTACTAAGTCTGTGCTTCATGTTTTTATTGCCCCCAAATACATCATATGAATATACTACATTTTATCCATTCATTAGCTGATGGATGTTTGGGTTGTTTCCATTTTGTATCTATTATGCACAGTGTTGCCGAGAACAACACTGTGTAGGTTTTCTGTAAAAAGTATTTTCTTCTGTCTTTGCCTGTCCTGAGGATGGAACTGCTGAACTTATAATTCTACCCGGCTGTCTAAAGAACTGTCCGCCAGCCTGTCTTCCTCAGCAGCTGCAGTAGCTACATCAGGAGGTTTAAGCCTGCCTGCACACTGCTAATGGTTTTATGTAGTTTGTTGCGTTTTGAAAATGGACCTTGCTATATAGTTCAGGCTGGCCTCACATTAGCAGTCCAGTTAGCTCCTCACTCAGGCCATCCCAAGTGCTCACCTAACAATGTTTTCTGTGGTACAGCTGGCCCAGAACTCTGCACCCCTTTGCCTGTCACCCATTGCTCAGATGACAGGGTGTACCTCCCCTGCCAGGTTCTTTTCCTCACTGAAGCAGTTCTTATCTGTACCACTGTATTTTCCTGCTGGTGAGCATGCTTCTTTGAGCACTCAGTTCTTCTAGACACAGACTGAAGGTTGTCGTTAATGGAGAATCCTGACAGTCAGAGATCTAAAATGTCATTTTTGCAGTAATAAGCCCAGAGCCACCCATGACCACATGTCCAGGAACTGCCTGAGAATGAAACTAGAAATGACCTGTGGAGCAGGCATGCCCAATTCTCAAATCTGGACAAATCCTGCACTTACCCCCTTCCCTACTTTCACACTTAGGACAGTTGAAATTGAATTTAGAATTGGGTGTCTGTCAACTACAACTGAAAAAAAAAATTCTGAATGGTTGGATATTTCAGGCATGGTATGACCCAATAAGAAATGGTTATCAACAGGCAATCAAAAACAAATGGAGAGTAAAGCTGTCGTCGTTTTCTTTCTCTGTTTTTGGAATTACACAATACAAAAACTGACGGTTATTACTTGAAGCATTTATAGTCCAAAGCATTGTGAAGATGACTGAAGGAGTTTTGATGTGAAGATAAAATCAACACCATAGAAGCAGAATCCATCATATTCATAATCAACTTTTAACTTCTGTTCTTTCTCTTGGTCTCAGCAACAGATTTTCTCTTCGACAGGGAGATGATGGCTAACTCATCTTCACTAACAGACAGTGGAACCAAACAGTTGTGATGTTCTACGAAGAACTTCATTAACACTAGAACTCCATCCCTGAATGCGCCTCCCATTGAATCACCTGGCATAAGACTGACAGTTTGTTTCATGCTATGAAGTCTTAGCAGCAAGTGGATCTGTGCCAGAGCTGCACGAGGCACAAAAGTACACACCGCACAAGCACACGCAGAGTGACCCCGACTGCCACTGCGCATGCTGGAAGAGACCTACCAACTGAGCGGCATTCTCAGCCCTACTTAGGGACTTCTACTTTGGTCTCTTCTGTGCTGGAGACTGAATCCAGGGCTTCGCTGCACTCAGCAAGGAATGTGCCACTGAGCTAAATCCCCAACCTCAACTTCATAATTTTTAATTTGCCCTTCACATATATATGTGTGTATTTGTATATATGTATATCTAGCTAGCTAGCTATCTTCTGTGTGTGTGTGTGTGTGTGTGTGTGTGTGTGTGTGTGTGTGAGAAACAGGGTTTCTCTGTGCTGCTCTAACTTTGTAGCCCAGGCTGCCTTTGAACTCACAGAGATCCACTGGCCTCGCCTCCCTGAGTGCTGGGATTATAGGCGTGGACCACCATACCCAGCTACATACTATATTTTTAAAGTGGCATATTAGTTTATTTTGTTTTTGCGATAATTATATAACAGTTTATATTCATAATGTGTCTTCCTGCATTCATTATCCTATTGTTCAGCATAGTTTTTACAGTTTAATGTATATTTTACAATCATATGGCTATCCAAGGTCCTTATGAATGATTTCTGTCAAGAATGATTACTGTCAAGAAATGTACTTTATTGGCTGAGCAGTGATAGCACATGCCTTTTATCCCAGCACTGGTGGGGGTGGGCAGAGGCAGGCAGACCTCTGTGAGTTAAAAGCTAGCTGATTCTACAGAGTGAGTTCCAGGACAGCCAGGGCTAGAACAGAGAAACCCTGTTCCAAAAGACCAAAAAAAAAAGTAGTGTACTTTATGAAGCACATGGGTATAAAACCAAATCCACACCTGTATCTTCACAGATGTTCCTAGGACAATGAATGCTAGCTGGAGGGATCTGCCCAAGAAATCAGCCCAGAGGGCCTGCAGAGGTCACTTTTATACTGGCTCTAAAATATCTAAAGAAAACGAACCAAGTTCGAGACTATGAAGACTTTTTTTTTTTGGGGGGGGGCAGGGTTTCATGTACTCCAAGTTGACCTTGAACTTCTTGTGTAGCTGAGGATGGCCTTGAACTTCTGATCTTCTTGCTTATACTTCGTATGTGCTGAGATCACAGGCTTCTCCACATGCCCAGTGTATACTGTACGGAACCAAACCCAGGGCTATGTGCATGTGGGCAAAGAGTCTACCAACTGAGCCACATCCCTACTCCCTAAAGGCAGTTTTGAGTGGAAGTGCATACTAGAAAATCTGGTTACCTTTACTTAGCTAGTAGCCTATATATATATATTTTTTTTTTTAAAGTTTTTTTTTATTTTATTTTATTTTTCTTATTAGTTACATTTTGTTAACTTTGTATCCCAGCTGTTTCCCTCTCCCTCATTCCCTCCCCAACCCCACACTCCCTCCCTGGTCTCCTCCCTGCCCCTTTCCACGTCCACTGATAGGGGAGGACCTCCTCCCCTTTCATTTGACCCTGTTTTATCAGGTATCTTCAGGGCTGGCTGCAAAGCCTTCCTCTGTGGCCTAACAGGACTGCTCCTCCCCTGGGGGGGAAGTCAAAGAGCCTGCCCTTGAGATCCTGTTAGAAATAGTCCTTGTTCTCCTAACTTTGGAAAACTACTTGGTTACTGAGCTACCACGGGCCACATCCGAGCAGAAGTTCTAGGTTATATCCATAGATGGTCCTTGGTTGAGTGTCAGTCTCAGAAAAGACCCTGTGCCCAGATATATTTGGTCCTTGTAGAGCTCCTATCCTTTCTATATCATACTAACTCCCCTTCTTTCATATGACTCCCTGCACTCTGCCGAGGGTTTGGTTATGAGTCTTAGTGTCTGCTTTGAAACACTGCTAGGTAGAGTCTTTCAGATGCCTTCTGCGGTAGACTCCTGTCATACGTTCAATGCACATCCCATTTGTCTTTCTAAATGAGGATTAATCATCTTTGCCCGTGTCCACTTTCGTGATTATCTTCTTTAGGTGTGTAGATTTCATTATGTTTATCATATCTTGTAGGTCTATATAAGCGAGTATATACCATGTTTGTCTTTCTCCTTCTGGGATACTTCACTCAGAATGATCTTTTCTAGATCCCACCATTTGCCTGCAAATTTCATGATTTCCTCCTTTTTGATTGCTGAGTAGTATTCCATTGTGTAAAAATACCACAATTTCTGTATCCATTCCTCCGTTGATGAACATCTGGGTTGTTTCCAGGTTCTGGCTATTACAAATAAAGCTGCCACATGTTTATATTTTCTTTAGATTAGTAAAAAGATTATAATTAAATCTATGAACACATAGTGTTTCAAAAGCCCATGTAAGGCCTACTCTCTGCCGCTCTCTATCTCTGCCTATGGATCAAGATGTAGCTCTCAGCTACTGTTTCGGTACCTGCTTCATTATGACATGATTCCCACCATGATAATGGGGTAAGTCTCTGAAACTGTAGAAAGTCATTCAACAATTCGTGTTATTTAATTGTTTCAGATTTGACTGAGAAAAATCTTCACTCACATTTCCTACACTTGGCATCATTATGCTTTTTGTCTAGCATGTAATCTTTTGGTGTGCCACGGACTTTCAAAGGTTAAAGAAGATCAAGGTGTTGATAACAGTACTTAATAGAAAAGCACATTGACTCACAACATTGTCAGCCCAATCTGCCAGTACTGTCGAGATGTAGTTCACGGCGTTAAGGATTGCACAGTATCGAAAGCCGAGGGAGTCCCTAGTCTCTTCTTTCATCACCTGAGTTAACCGTATCCTAAAATCATCTACAAGGTCCTTCTGTAACTCCAGGAACTGCAGCTTTCGGGAGGCTGTGGGGAGATTTTTATACCTGTCTGTAGAGAAAGTAAGCAAAACACATGAAGGGTTAGGCACTGTCCACAGCTGGTTTTCCCTAGAGCCCTACTTTACTGCCTTTATGAAAACATTCAACCGGCCATTTCTAACTGTTTAGGGATCATACGGGTATAACGTGTGTCAGGGCTCATCCCGCAGCACACTGAAGACCTAGACCTGCACATTTTGCTATATATAAATCTGCCTCTTTTTTAAAAAGCCTCATTTTTAAAGAAGTGTTTTAAAATAAGTGTTCCTTAAGTCAGAAGCTATTTGATGAGGAAGGCTTGAGATAGATCTCATATAGCCCAGGCTGGCCTCAAATTTCCTCTGTGGCTTTGCACTCCTTATCCTTGAGCCTCTACCTCTGATATATGGGATTAAAGGTGTGTATCACCATGTCTGGCTATCTTTTTTTTTAAATTGTTTCATATTTTTCTTATAGTCAAATACGTACTTATTGACTAGGTTGGAATGAACCTTCTTTAGGTTATCCTAAAGGTCAAGAGGTGAATTGTCAGAAGAGGACGACAGCAGTGAGGCTCTGCTGTCACCTGGAGTCTACAGCAGGGAATTCAGATGCTGCACACCGACAGAGCCTACGGACACTGGCCACCCTCTGGCCAGAACAACACCGAATGCGCAGAATCCTTGTACTACTTCAATTCTAAAACTACCTTATCATTCTACGCTCTCTTCAGCTCTTGATAAACCAGTGCCGAGAAAATAATATTTAAACTTTAAGTTTGCACTGGACATGACAGTGTGTTCCTAGTCCCTGCCAGCTGGAAAGCCAAGGCAGAAAGATCCTTTGAGAACAGGATCTCAATCCAGCGTGGGAAATATAGTAGGACTCTGTCTCTTAAAAAATAATGAATGGTGGCTGGAGAGATGGCTCAGCAGTTAAGAGCACTGGCTGCTCTTGGAGGGGACCCTGGTTCAGTTCCTAGCACCCAAATGATAGCTTACAACTCCATTCTAGGGATCCAGTGCTCTCTTCTGAACCACACAGGCACTAGGCACATATGTGGTATACATGTATGTGCAGGCAAAACACTCATACACACAAGCCTAAAATAAAGTTAAATTAACTAAACGGTACCGAAGAGAAGGCTCAGCTGTTAAGAGCACCGCAGTTTGTGTAGAGGACACAGGTTGGGTCCCAGCACCTACATGGCTGCTCACAACCATCTGTAACTCCAGCTTCAGGGGGTCCAACACCTTCCACACGCACTAGGAATGCACATGGTATACATTCACCCAGATACACACTCACACACAAAATAAAAATAAGTCTTTGAAATAGCAATAAAATGAAAACTGAAGACATGTAAAAGAATGACAATAAGTTAAAAATTAACAACTTAAGACATATGTATACCAATGTTCATATCCTAAGTTGTTGCTGTTATTATTATTTTGAGACAGGATCTCACTATACATCTGGGTGGTCTGATTATTAGTTATTATTATTACTATTATTAATTGTTATTTTAGTATTTTGAAACAAGATCTCCCTATACATCAGGGTGTCCTGAAACTCACAGACCAGGATGATCACAAAGCCACAAATCCTCTCACCTCTGCTTCCAGAGTGCTGGGATGAAAGGAGAGCACTACCACACCTGGGTAAATCCTAAGTTATTATAAAGTCAAAAGTGAGACTCCTCTCACAGATTTTAATTAGGGTGGAAACAATGTGATGTCACTATGCAGCTATTTATTAACGACTAAAAGCAAAACAAAACCAAAACCGTACATATGAACCATACTCCTTTTAAATATTTACTGTTTTTATGTTATGTACATGCATACCTGCTGCCTGAGGAGGCCACAGAGGTCACTGGATTCCCTAGAGCTGGAGTTACAATGGGTTATGAACTAGGCACTGAATCAGGTCTTCTGTAGGAGCAGCAAGACCTGCTGAGCTAGCTCTCCAGCCCCAAACTTAGTACAATTAATTTTGTTGTTTGTTCATTTGGTTTGTTTTGGATTTTTTTGAGAGAGGGTTCTCATAAATCCCAGGATGACCACAAACTTGCTGTGCAGCTGAGAGTGGCCTTAAGCTTTTGATCCTCCTGCTTCGACCTGGCAAGCTGGGATTACAAGTGTGTGCCCCCATACCCAGCTTTAACACGTAATCTTAAACTAACATCATATATTAAAAGGCCAGCACTTACCAGTTATAACCAAAAGTAGGGTCATAAAAACTTCCGCACAGTCTGGAACCTTCATTTCATCTACATCAGTGATGTCTTTATATTGGGATACCCAAGCTGCCTCTGATGAGAGCATTGAGTCCATTTTTTGAAGAGCAACTAACATGAAGAAAGAAGGATCATGTCAAGGACTTACAGTCATTCTTAAATTATCAACTTATACATTTTTAGGGAATGACGTTTTCATACAACACAAATTTGCAATCTCCCACTAATATATTGCATTAGATTTAAAATATTCTACTTCAGAGTTAAATAAGATGCCTTATTCTCCCTCCTCTCAAATTCGCAGATAGTTATGTGGCACATCCAAAGAACCCAACAAAGAAGAAATAGTGCATGGCAAAAATCTATAAAACAGCAATATCCTCTACTGGCCCAATATTCCAACATGCAAACTGTAAATCTAGGAAAAAAACTGAGATTCTGTGGAAAGAGAAGACTATCTTTGAAGGTAATTCAGTAGACCTTGCCCAGGAAAGATTTAGGCACCTATAGTTTTTACTCAGAGCTGTAAGAGAAAAATCCCCAAAACTTTGCACACCAAAAACAGACATTGCCAGGCCATGGTGGTGCATGCCTTTAATCCCAGCATTTGGGAGGCAAAGGCAGGTGAATTTCAATGAGTCTGAGGCCAGCCTGGTCTATACAGAGACATCCAAGACAGCCAAGACTACAGAGTGAGACCCTATCTAAAAACAAAACAAAAAGCATGCAAAAAAACAAAAATGAAGAAAAAACCCCCAAGACAGCCCTCCCCACCCAATGGCCATATAAGCACTTACATTTTCTCTCCACAGTCAGCCATCTCTGAAAACAGGTTTCCTCCGACAAAATATGCATACAGCTGGCAAAAGTGCTCGGATAGCCATGAACACTGTGCAACTCCCTTTCAAACAACAGCACCTCATCCACCAGGTGACAGAAGAGACTGTCGTCATAGAGCAGGCAGGGAATATCAGAAGCCAGCTTCTCAAGAATGAGCATCACGAGGCCGCGAGAGAACTCAAACTGAAAGACACCCAGGATAAGGGACTGTGACCTGAACAACTCTAACGTAGCTGAGGTGCCCAGGACTCAGCCTCTTACCCTTGCGTTTACTGCAGAGCCTGCTTTATCCAAAATTGGCTGAATCTTCTCATCCAGAAAGTGAGCATGGTTTCCAATCCACATAAGTACCTGAGCCAAGTACCATTCAGGCTAAGGGGAAGGGAAAATGGCTTCAATTCTTTATTCAATTCTATAGTCATGGAAAATTCTAATTAAATGCATTTAGTTATAAACAGATACAAACATTAATTGAAAATTCCTGTATGTAAGAGAATAACTCTTACCCTGCATTTCAAACTCACAAAAGACATCATAATCAAATGTTTCCCAAAATACTCTCAACAACTCCAATAGTGTGGCTTACGTCAGTAAACGCATACATTTAAAACACCATATTGGGGTTAGAGGTAGCTTCGCAGTATGACATTTGCCTCGTGATAAAAAGCCTTGGTTTCTATCCACAGCATCAAAAGAAAGAGGAAGAGGGGGCACAATGACAACAATAACAAAGAAAAGACAGTCAAACAAACCTAAGAACTAACATCTGCTCAGCACATACACAGCCTTAGATCCCATAGCAAAGCAAAACAACAGCAAGAAAAAGGCCATGCCAGCAAGCTGGCTGGTGGGTGAAGGCGCTTCCAGCAAGCCCGACAGCCTGAGTTAGATTCCTGGAGTGCACATGGTGGAGGGACAGAGCCAGCTCCCACTGCCTGTTCTTCTGACCTACACACACAGGGAGAGCCCTCCAAACCTAGCAAGACGGGCTATTACAAACAACTGATAACTTTGAAATAGCATTCCAAAAGAACTTTCTGAGATGGGAGCTCACGTAGGTCAAGCCTCAGACTCTATGTAAGTGAGGATGGTGAAGTTCTGCTCTTCCTGTCTCTGCCTCCCCAGGATTTCAAAATGCAGCATCACACGTGGTTTATCTGGTGCTGGGGACCAACCTGGGGCTTCATGTGAGCTGGGCAAGTAGTGGCCTCAGATTGAGCTACATACCAAATAATTTTTTTAAAGATTTATTTACTTATTATGTATACAGTGTTCTGCCTGCATGTACACCTGCAGGCCAGAAGAGGACACCCAGATCTCATTATAGATGGTTGTGAGTCACCATGTGGTTGCTGGGAATTGGACTTTGGAAGCATAGCAGCCAGTGCTCTTAAACTCTGAGCCATCTCTCCAGCCCCCACCAAATAATTTTTAAACAGAAAGAACAGTCATCTGGTCTACATTACAAGTACACACGAGCCTTACACTGGGTATAATCGTGGGAAGGAAGCAGGCATAAACCACTTACATTTTCCTTTGTGTATAGATGCATGTTTGAATTTATGTGTCTGTGAGGGTCAACAAGCACCACAGGGTACGGGTGGCAATTAGAAGACAACCTTTGGGAGTCAGTTTTCTCTTGCCACCTTGTCGGTCCTGAGGCTCAAACTGAAGCTGTCAGGCTAGGAGTTTTGTGGCCTCACCCACTATGCCATGTCTCCAGCCCCACATAAAGCATTTTAAATTGTCTCTAGAAAGGATTCTGCAAGCATTTCAAGTTTTCCTAAGCAGCAGCTCGAAAACATATACTAGACTGGGATGTAACTCAGGGACAGAGCACTTGCCTAGAATGTGGGAGACCCTGGGTTCAACCCCAGCACTGAGAAAAGTTACTAACTGGTAAGTAAATGCCTATGGAGTTCCGAATGCTGAGCTACAAATAAGGGCAGCATCTAATCTCAAGGACTGCCTCGGGGACGGGGTGCTAAGCCCACTAGGATCATGCCTTTACAAGGAGCCAACACAACTCAAATTTTTCTTACACTACACTATAGTATCGCCTTTCTAAATGTTCAGTTTATGCTTTATCTCATTTACTTCCGGATTCTGCTCTCCCAACAACACTCTATCCAAAAAAAAAAAAAAAGACCAAAGCACAAACAGGAATCTGCTGCCACTAGGTCCACTCATATGACATGTATAATACCTGGCCACTGCAGTAAACATCAAGAACAAACATCCTAGTAGATTATAATTACAAAAAAACAGCAACAGACCACACTGATGTGGACCCTCAGTCCAAGTGTTGGTACCGATTTCCTCTAAATTACTTAAGCCATCACTCACGACCATGGTGTCCCTTCTGTGGCTGTGAGTCACCCTGGCTCTGGCACGTGTACTCAGCAGCCAGTGCGCTCTTGTGGAATTCACATCTCTTTCTATTTTTATGTCTGCAGGAGCGGTCTGTACAGTGAAGGGTGGGCACAGAACTGGTGGTAAAGCCTGCACGCCCAAATGCAAACGTGATGATGTCCCAAAGACAGCACCAATCCTGACAACCTACATCCTAGTTACATCTGCAAAGGGCAGCTATGAGGCAGGAATTTAGAAGGGAAAACAAATGTGAACAGAGACAGGTTTTTACCTTAAACATGTGTAAGTCTGGGCATCGGTAACATTCACTATTAAGGAAAACTCAGAGCCAAGTAAACACTGTGGCACCCACATGTAATCCCAGCACTCAGGAGGCAGCTGCAGAGGGAGCTCAAGTCTGAGGCCAGCCAGGGGAACAAACAAACAGACAGGAAGAGAAGAGAAGGGAAGACAAGAGCACACGCTCTGCTGCAGCGCACCTTGCTGATGACGTTGGTCTGCCGGCTGCCTCTGAAGTGGTACCTGAACCGCTTCTGAAGGGGGACCAGCATAATCTGGATAGGCAGGATCACAGATGGGGAGGCAGGAAGACAGTATTTTTCTGGGAGCTGTTTTTGCTCAGTTAATAACTCATCTCTGACACAGTCAAGTCAAGGAAAAAGAATCAAAATCATATTTATACACTCAAGTACACTACCACACAATCAATATTTCCAATAAATGTATTAGTACTTAGTAAAAGGTTTAATACAAATAATGTGAAACCTAGCTTTATACTGAATTTAAATTAACTAAAAAGGTTTTTAGAGGCTGGAGCAATGACAAGTTAAGAACACTTGTTGCTCTTGCAGGATCCAGGTTCAACTCCCAGCACCCACATGGTGGCCCTCAATCATCCTAACTGTAGTACCAAGGGGATCAGATGCCCACTTCTGACCTCCTCAGGCACAAGGCATGCATATGGTGCACAAACACACTTATGGACAAGCCGTTCCCTCTCATAAAATGAAAACATAAAATGTTTTAGAATCAGTTGGTACTAAGGAAGTCAACTTAAGCAATCATCTGATCAACACTTTGTCACTAAGGTTTCTTCCCATTGACTATTTGTTGTCTTGTCCTAAAGGTGGTTCGAACAAGAATGGTCCCACAGGCTCATATGTTTGAATGCTCTGTCCATAGGGAGTGGCTCTATCAGGAGGCACGGCCTTGTTGGGGTAGTTACGGTTTTGTTAGAGAAAGCATCACTGCGGGTGGGCTTTGGCAATTTAAATGCTCAAGCCAGGCCCACTATTGCTATCTTTCTGCTAGCTGCCAGTTTGAATGTGGGCTCTCAGCTACATCTCCAGCACCATGTCTACCTACATGCCACCATGCTTCCTACCATGATGATAATGAACTGAACCTCTGAAATTGTAAGCCAGCCTCAACTAAATCCTTTCCTTTATAAGAGTTGCTGTGGTCGTGGTGTCTCTTCGCAGCAACAGAACAGTGATTAAGACAGTTGTTTATCAGGTTCCCAGCAACCACATGGTGGCTCACAACCATCTATAAAGAGATATGATGTTCTTTTCTGGAGTACAGGCAAAATACTATATAAATAATAATAAATCTTAAAAAAAAAAAAAAGACAGTTGTTTATCTTAGAACTTTTTTTAACAGCCCTCCCACTCCAAGGCAATTCCTCTTTTAGAGAAAACATATACTCTCCAATAGGCAGTTACACATCCGACTAACCCAGGACCCTCAGCTTGGCAACTCAGCTTGGAGAACTTTCTCCCCAGTGCTGGACATTGATCCCAGTGCCTCATTCATACTCTATCACTCTATCTCTAGCCCAAAATGCTGTGCTCACTAACTACAAATAGATGTAGGAAGTTTTAGTAAGTTTCCACTCCAACAAAGATACGAGGCTTGTAGTTTCAACAGCTGACAAAACAGTGTCTCCAAGGTCGCATACATCTCAGGGGCACTGGCAGGCCTGCTTATGCCAACAGTTTGAGACTGGGCGTGTGTGATGAAGGGCCAATGAAGCTGTGCTAAAATTTCCTCAAAATCACTGTAACAGAAAAAAGAAACAATGTTTCATATGATGCCATTACATTACCAAAGATCCATCAGAAACCAGTCACCGTGAGATAATCCCTGCCTGGTAAGCTTGTCCTTGAGAATTTTATGCCAGAATTTCACTGTGGCTCTCAGGAAACTAAGAAGATGAGTACAAGATGACTCCTGAAGCTTGATGTCAACTTCTGTCATGGTCACCAGGATAGAGGCTGCCTCAGGCACATTGTTGGTCATCAGGTATTGCTGAATGTTATCACTGCAAGACAAAAAAGAACACCTATTAATGAATTTCCATGGAATGAGGGTGTGTGTGCGTGTATGTGTGTGTATCTGAGGTCAATCACTCTCCACCCTACTTTTGAGACAGGGTCTCTTCACTGAACCAGGAGCTCACAACTCACCTAGAGGCTAGATTCTAGACTGACTGGTCAAGAAGCTCCCGAAATCCTCCTGCCTGCCTCCCCAACCTGGCTTTTTAATGCAGGTGCTGGAGACTGAACCCGGATATTTATGTTTGCATAGCAGGCACTTTCCTGAGTAAACCATCACCCAAAGCCCTCTTTGGAATAACTTGAAGCTCAGAAAAATGTTATCCCTCACTCATGTTTGACATAATTGCATCTCAGATAGACGAAGCATTACCACGAGCTGCCTGCTCAGTTCATCTGACACTCGCATCTGCAGGAACCTTTAACCTCCTAAGAGCAGCAGTCTGTGTTCTGGAGGTGCTCTTCCACCTGCCCCACCCCTGTCCTCCTGAGACGACACATGTGTCACATTTCTGCAGGCAGCACTCATTTCTGGTAGGACTTCTTTCATAGAAGTTGTAATCCATGGGATAATGTAGTTAGCATCTGGGACAGTGAAGTACAGTAACCTTCAGTTTTTATCTACTTTGCACCATTTCTACATCAAAAAAAAAAAAAGTATTCCAAATTAAGTGTCTCATTAAATTAAAATAAAGACTTTCATGCTCAAGAAACGTACAAATGAAAAGAAAAAGAAAAAAGAAAAAGCCAGGCAGTGGTGGCATAGGCCTTTAATCCCAGCACTTGGGAGGCAGAGGTAAGTAGATCTCCATGAGTTCAAAGCCAGCCTAGACTATAGAACAAGTTCCAGGATAGCCAGGGCTACACAGAGAAACCCTGTTTCCAAAAGCAAAAAACAAAAAAAAAAAAAAAAA